TTTTCAGCTGCACAGTGTGGCAGCGTGGCGTCGAGCAGCAAGTACACTCCCTCTCGTTGCTGCAGCCCGGCAGCCTGGTCCTGCTGAACTCCTGCAAATTGCGTGCCATCAGCCCGCATTCCGACCTGCCGGCGGCCACCGTCCCGCGGCCGGTCTTCGAAAACCAACTCCGCCAAACGCCGGCTCTCCTGCAGACGGACATCCTGCGATTCGCGGACAGCTTCGCCACCCAGGGCACCAAGGTGCCCATTGCCGACCCCCAGCCGAACACGGCGCAGGTCGACGTCTCGGTCGAATACAACAACACCCGCCTCTACAAACAGGCCAAGGGCTATGTCCTGGAGGTAGATGGTGCGCCGGCTGCTGTCCACTGTTGTGAGTTGTGCGGCATCGCCCCGCGCCGCATGTGAGGCCCCCCTCTCCCCCCTGCTGATTCCCCCCCCCCCCCCCCTTGCCTCCCCGCCGAATCCGTGTGCCACCCCGCGTGTAACCGATGCAGGTGCCCAAACCACCGAGGATCTCCGGCGCTGGCCCCATCCGCCAGCCCTGGCACTGAACCTGACCAAGCTGGGCGCCCTGCCCGACGGGACAGCGCTCGACATCGGCTGTGGGCAGCCCTTCGCCAAGCGGCATCTCGAGCGCGTCGGCGACCTCCTTGATGATGGCGTGCCTTTGCCAATCCTGGCGGTCTCAGCCGTCAGTCGCCAGCATTCCACGTCGATGTACGTTCCCTGATTTTTCCTTCTCTCTCTCTCTCTCTCTCGCTTTTTTCCTTCTCTCTCTCGCTTTTTTCCCTCTCTCTCTCTCTCTCTCTCCCTCTCTCTCTCTCTCTCTCTCTCTCTCTCTCTCTCTCTCTCTCTCTCTCTCTCTCTCTCTCTCCCTCTTCCCCCCCCCTCCCTCTCTCTCTCTCTCTGTCTCTCTCTCTCTCTCTCTCTCTCTCCCTCCCTCTCTCTCTCTCCCTCCCTCCCTCTCTCTCTCTCTCCCCCTCTCTCTCTCTCCCTTCTTTCTCCGCCCCTTTCTCCATCTCCCTCCCCCCTCTCTCTCCTCCTCTCTTCCCCTCTCACACGCGCATGCACGCGCCCCCTCCTTCCCCCGGCCAACCGATTCATGCAGTCCCTCTGCCTCTTGGGCCACGACGCCCAGGTTGTCGGCCCGCTCGTTCCCTTCACCGAGTGGGACTCGCTGTCCAGCGAGTGCCGGACCATCCTGAGACTGGTCATTGGACAAATTTCGCACCCGACCACCGGCGATCCCGGCAACAGTTCCGAGCTGGCACACATGTACACGCACGCACCCTTGGGCAACGCAGGGTCCTACCTGCCGACCTGGACCTCCTCCGACTGGCCACACCGTGACTTTTATTGGCGCATTGGTGGCAACCTGCAGCCGCCCCGACGTATTGCCATTGCCGTACGTGCAAGCGGTGGGACAACCACACATGGCCACCGCCCTCCCCCCTGGCCAATCCCCATCCGCGCATCTGCCCCCAAACGCCTGCATGCACTGCACACACACGCACACTCATGCGCACTTATGCACACATCTCTCCCTCTCTCTCCCCCCCCTCCCCTCTCTCTCTCTCTCTCACACACACAAACAGAATGCCCGTCGGATTGCCCCAATCACCAACTACCTGGCCGCGGCCTCGTCCACGTATATGAAGCTCCCGCAGGTGGTTGCCCGCGTCTGGCGCCGACGCCCGATTGTCCCCTCCTGGCGCGATGCCAGCGATGTCTTCCCCTTCCGAGTGACCTATGATCTTGGTACACCTCGCGTGCCATTTTGCCTTGTCTTCTTCCTCGCCCACATTCTGCATGTGTACACCCCCACAGCTGCACATGATCCCATGCTCCCAGACGTTCACAGCCCCACTGCCAGACCGACTGACGCGCTTCTCC